TAAATGGTACCCATGCCGATAGGGTTAAGAAGTACAGCAAAAAAATTCAGAAATGAAATACATGAAATTTAAGGAAACAAAATCCAGAAAAAAATTTGGTATACAAGTGTTGGTACTTTGCTATTACCCTGGTGCCTTTTTGTAGGTGAATATATTTCTGTTTAATTCTTATGATTCCTTTGTTATATATTCTATATATATATATATATGAATATGTCAGTTGAAATTTCCACTGTATTTTTAAATTATTAAAAGATTTTATGGCTTAGATTGTTTTATTGTACTCTGATTCTTAGGTGTTTGAAGCAGTAAAGATGGTTCCTTCTATGGATCACAATAATAGAATAGAGGCAGTTACTTTTTGGAACAGTTTATCAGAAAATCTTGAAGAGATAATAAACAACAATTCTGAGAAGATAGCAACCATAATTTTGTCATTGGAAGAAGATCTTGCAAAACAAGTAGGTTTAGCAAGAGGAAAACTGAAATTTTATGTTTATGAATGACTGTTTTTGGTATGTTTTTTGTAAACATTTTGAAATTGATACAATAAATTTTTTCTTAGTTGTTTTTTTTTCAGAAACTATCTAGATGATTTACCCATTTACTGCATGGGGAATACAGTAATTCATGCACCACATTAGTGTTCTGTCAGTAATTCATGCACCAAATTAGATTTTTGTCAGTAATTCATGCACCAAATTAGATTCTTGTCAATAATTCATGTCCTAACTAATTTCTGTTAGAAATTCACACACTAGTATTTACCAGTCCTCTATTTACCATTTTATTTAGCTCCATATGGTGATGTGTGGATAGATTGAACAGATAGGTGGCTTTTCAATTCAGCATAATGATGAAAGTAGTTAAAATTTTTTAAAGCATGAAATTTTCAGAAGTCAACCCAAAATATTTCTGTAAAGAACTACAGTTAACCAGAATATTATCACACAACTAAAAGACAACAACTTTGACATTTGATACAATAGCAACATGCATATGTAAGGGGAGGCCTGGTTTAAGAATTATAAACCCCTGTATTCCACTATGTAGCTGAACAGTTTGTAGCTATTTACTAAAGAGGCTCCTATTATTTGTTATTATTCTGAGGTGTTTACATTGTATATTATCTTTTATTTTCAGATGCACTCCATATCTGGTTGCTTACTAGGAACAACTTCAACATCTTGTTTTGAAAAACTAGGAAATTCAGGTATTTTTCCAATTTCAGAACTTGGAAATTTAGATATCTCTCTCACATTTTATGCTATTTTGCAAAACCTGGAAATTCCTATGTTTCACAATTTCCAATACGGTACATTACCTCCTCTCACGTAAATAGAAAAAATTTATTGTGCATGTCACAAGACCTGAAGCTCCCACCTATCTGGAATTGACTGATTCCAGTGTATCTTTCATGCAAATCATCATGCGACAACCCTCTACCAATAAGAGTGACATATACTCCCTTAACGCATATGACTCCCTCTATTCAATTGTACTGAACTGTCTCTTCTCGTTTGGCAGTATTCATGTCAAGACATTTTTTTTTTGTGCTTTTCATATTGTTCGAAATTGTAAAGTTATATAGTTTAAATACTGAAGTGGAATTTTTTCATTATTTGTTTTTTATCTTTACATAATTGATGAATATTTCAGTTAATTTCCCAGTGTTTTTGTTTTCTCAATCTCAAATTTTTTTCCCATCAAATATTTATATTTCAACTTTGAATTCTGTGGTTAATGGTACCACTTTGTGTATCATACCTTCTACTAGCACTAAAATACAGGCTACAGGTGGGAGAGACCCATTATTGGATTTATCTGCCATGACATTGATCATTATATTGGTCAACCTCCTTTTCCTGAACTTGCCCCATTTCCTTTTGAAAAAGCTTAACTGTTCAGGCTGATGAGAATTTTGATAGCCTTTTTCCATCACCAGATTTTGCTGTGTCTTCCTATGCCCTCCTGCAGAATAAGCTAGGCCTAATACAGTGTTTTTAGACATAATTTCTTGCGGATGTGATGTTTTGTCCCTTTCTCCGATTTCTTATTATCCCAGTCCTTCTTTGTTGCATGATACCTCTTCATCTCAGTATTTGGTTTTTCTCCCCTTCTCTGGATATTTGGATTAATGCTGAGCATTTTGTTTCTCAGTTGGCTAAGAGTGCCAGTGTGCCTTGCCCTCCACAGGCTACAGATCAATTTGCATTAGCTTACCATCAGATTGGCATTCCCACAGGCTACAGATCAGTTTGCATTAGCTTACCATCAGATCGACTTTCCCACAGGCTACAGATCAGTTTGCATTAGCTGACCATCAGATCGGCTTTCCCGTCCAGTCAAATTCTATCCGATGGAGTGATTTGTTGATCATCCTGTTTTCCAGTGGCTTTGCCTTCAGTGGGGTACTCCTCATCTTGATGAATTTGCTATGTCCATCAACACCAAATTGCCTCTGTTTTGGTCTCTAGGTCCTCATCCTCTTACTCTGGCTGTAGATGCTTTCAGTCAGAATTGGACCAACATATGTCTATCCTCCCATTTGCCTTCTTCACAAGGTGATTTCAATCATTCAAGCCATTTCATATCAGGTCCTTCTGATTGCTTCTTACTGGCCAGCTCAACAGTGGTTCCCGTGGCTACGCCAGCACCTAACTACCCCTCCGTTACCTCTTTCTCCATCCCTTCTTTGTCATTCTTGGTCACCAGTGTCTTTCCAGCCCTTCCTGTCTTTTGTATTCAGGCTTAGTTTTTATCCAGTCTTTGGTGAGGAGATCTGGTTTGTCCCAAAGGGTAGCTTCTTTTCTAGCTACTCTTATTTGCCTTTCCTCCAGGGAGGTTTATCAACATAAATGTAACATGTTCCACCGTTGTTCTTTGGGTCAGGGGTTTTCACCTGATCGACCCAATGTTCCTCATTGCGGATTTCATTACTTGGCTTTTTGATTGTGGGTCTTCTGTCTCCTCAATCGCGGGTTTTTGTCCCACACCTTTCATTTTTCGTGATATTACGTTTACCTCTCCTATTCTCCTTATTGATGCATTCCTTCCGGATTCCTCATCCACCTCGGTGGGCTGTCCTTCTGGACTGGGATGTTAATGTTGTCCTTCCCTGCCTCACCTTGCCATCGTTCAAATTACTGTCCACATGCTCTTTGTTTCTCCTCTACCTTAAGATTTATTTGCCATTGCTGTTTCATGCACTCTCTATTATTCTACTTATATTCTCCTCTATCTGGATCATTCTTTCCTCCCCAAAATTTTGAATCTTGAGAGGGTCACTCCTTTTTTTTCACCAATTTTCCTTCTTTCCATATCCTACCTTTATCCACTGTTTGATATGGATAAACTTCTATGTCCTATCCATGCTCTTCGCTGTTATATTGCTTGCACAGCATCCTTCTGTGGTGCCCATTTTCACCTCTTTATTCCTCAGCAGACATCCTCTGTTTGTGATCTTTCTCCTTCCACCCTCACCAATTGGGTTCGACTTTTACTTTGATTGGATTCTTCTTCTTTTTGTTTTCTCCCTGTATTTTGTTCCAGGTGTCTTCTCATCAAATCAGACATCTTACCTTTTCACTAGCATCTCAACTTTGTTGTCCCTTGGAGGAAATTCCTCAATCGGGCATATGGACTACTACTCAAACATTCATTTCTCGCTATTTATATTGGATTGTGGCATCTTCAGACTTCAGTGAGACTTTGACTGGTTAGTTATCTTTTATTTCTCTTTTCCTCATTTTCAGGGGCTTTTTACCTTTTTCTTTCTTTTTGTTTGTTGCTACTCATTGTGGGGATCCGGCTCAGTGGTGAGTCGTGCCTGACCAGGTATTCTTTAACTGTTCAAATCCACGCTCTAAGACCACATTGATTTACATATTATGATTTCTATGGCCAAAAAATGCACCCTGCTGAGATGGGGTGTTTCACAAGGTTGCTTGTAGGTTTATCCTCACGATATGTTTGCTTCGTTAGTTTACCTATCCTGGACTGTACTCACCCATGGGCTACATGGGTAAAGCAGAAGGGGATAGCTGCTCATCCCTGCCATGCCTTGTATTGAATAAATTGGTATGATCTGCTCTTCAATATAGGGTTTCGTGGTCACCCATTGCACTGTCTCAGGTGTTGTTGTTCCTCTGGACTTTCCACCATACTCCCCCCCCCCCCTATTTCTTCTAGTGGAATTAGAGAATCCTTACCAGTTTCCAGTTCCAAACAGCTGGGGTGGTGGACCGTGGAAATGTGTTAATGAAATACAAATAATATATGTATGTGTATATATATATATAACATATACATAAGTGATTATAAAACCTTTCAGTTGAGAATAGTTTATACTCTTGTTACTTCATCTGTGAGTCATGATGTAGGTACTTGCAGATTACTTTGGTTCTTTCCCTTCTGCTATCTTTTGATGTTCTTATTATTCTGAGGATGTTACTGTGTTTGGGCCTGTCATTTTAACTTTGAGTGAGATGGTTTACTTTACATAAACATCTTTTTGATTCCGGATTTTGGGTTCTTGGATCGATCAATCACTTTCTCTCATTGTTATCATGTGCCATATTCATGGGTCTGGGGGTACGAGATTCCCTCTGGTCTCATGAACTTGAGGTGAAGATGGTATGATTCTCTTTCCTACCCCCTACCAGATGGCTGAGTTTCGGATTGTAGTTGACTTGCCAGCAGTATGATCCTCTTTTTTACCCCCACATGCATGTCGGTATCTGGTGGCCAGATTTGGGATTGTAGTTGACTTACCGACATTATGATCATCATCCTACTCCCTTGTGGATGCCGGTTCCCAGCAGCATGGGTTTTGGATGTAGTTGACTTAGCATGTATGGTCCATCGAGCCTTAGCCACTCTACACCTAGAGTCATATCCTTTTAATCTTATCCACTTTTATGTTTTATGAGATTGAACTTGTTATATACCATATGGTTTGGATTCTTATCCTTCCATAGTTCTTTCCCACTTGGATGTCCTCCTCTGTCTTTCTGGCAGTATATGTAACATCTTTCCATAATGGGTGAAGAGTATACCTGGTTCAGAAGTGGAGCAGTTTCCCACATATGATCTTTGATTCCAAAGATCTCTTCTTGGGGAGTTTCCTTTGGTTGCTTTCGAAGGATGCTTCTTTCTTTCCCTCGCACTAATCTCTCTACCTTTCAATGTGGGATTTTAGCTATTTTTGTGAGAGGAGGTAATGTACTTAATCAGAAGTTATAATTTTTTCTATACTGAAAATATATTTCTGATAGGTACTTATCTCATCTCACACTTCCCACCCTTCCTCACTATTGAAAACTGGTGCTTCCATTTTCTGCCAAAACTCAAAGTGATAGTTTGGTAGAATTGAATAGAAGGAGTGACATGCACCAGAGAATATGTTGCACTCTTATTGGTGGAGGGTTGTCGCATGATGATTTGGAATGACACATTGAAATCAATAAATTCCAGATGGGTGGGAGCAGGCTTATGGCATGTGCAAAAAAATTTTTTGTGAGAGGAGGTAAGTATCTATCAGAAATATATTTTCAGTATACTTTGTGCTGTTTTGTAAATTATGGAAATTTAGGTATTTCTCTCACTACCTTTTGCTCTTCTGCTAAAATCTGGAAATTCATGTATTCCTCTCACTGTATTTGTTATTTTGAAAAACCTAAACATTCGGGTATTTTATTCACTAATTTGTGTTGTTCTGTGAAACTTGAGATTCAGTTACTTTTGGTACTTTTACTTGCTACTTTGAAAAAAAGATAGATTTTCAGGTTTTCTGTTAGTGTTTGTTATTCTGGACAAAGTGAAATATCTGTTACTTTAGTGCCATTCTGAAAAATGTTATAACCTTTTTTTTTTTTGTAGTATATTTTGAGTATATCTTTAAAGTGATTTCTTCCCTTGTGACATATTTTTCTCTTCAAACAATGTATCATATTCCATCATTTCATTTAGGTGAATTTTCAGTTTTGTTTTGTTGTTGTCCTATTTCATGAAAGCTATTATTTTAGGAACTTCTATTTACATACATACATATACTTGTGTGTGTGTGTGTGTATCGCAATAGTGTTATCCGTCCTGGTTGTCAACTTATTGTTATAATGGATAATGTCTGTGGTAATAGCACTCAAATGCATTGGAGATATCCTATCTACCAGACGATATCCAAACATCAATGTCAATCTAGTCAGCTATTATGGAAAATCATAAATAAAATCAAAAATCAATCAAATAAGAGTACAAAGCTGAGTGCTTACATCCATAACATCTCAGCTTCTACTGCCTTTCACTGTCTATAACCAGTTGTGGAAAGGCAGTTACCCTTAAATCTTTTAAAGTAGAAATGAATTGAAATAAAGCCACCCTAATATTTCTACTAATTAAACTCCCACCTCTACCCTTACAAAAAGATATTAAACAGAACTAAATAGATCTATACACCCTACCTTAAAAGTTCTTATATAGCTCTAACTCCCAACCTTCTCCCTTTCTCCTGAAGATTTATTCAAGTATAACACGGGAAAGCCGAGACAAACCCAGCTACTTGAAGTTAGTCTTTCCATCCCAGTTATACTGAATAAAATTACTTGAAAAATTGCAATTAGCTACTTATAAGCTGAAATAACTAACTCCTTCTATATTTTATTTATAAGATATTTTCCTTAATCGATAGTTTAGTTTTTAAAATATTTTTGTATTTATTAAAAAATAGAGTAATGTATTTCTTTTATTGCCTGTCTCTATAGCCGTTATCTTTCAATTTATTTTTTAATAAAACATTATCTATAAAATAATTATAGTTATAACATACTATTAGGAACTCTTTTAGTTGAGATATAATAATACC